TACATATATATATATAAAAGGATCTGGCATGAAGTAACCCCATAAGAGTAAGCAGTAACCTTAAAATATCTCCTAGTGGAGCTCTTTGTTTCTCCTTAGCTTTTCTGTCGTTTAACCTTTTAATCTCACTTTAGCCACTGTGCTTCTGCTTGCGCTGTTTGCAGCAGTGGTGTTATCCTAAAAGCAGATTCGTTACCCGGTGTGCAATAAGCCAACTGGTGCATACACACAAAGGAGTTTGTTTTTTATTTAGGCCCGGGTGCTTGGTGGATTTCCGCAAGTCAAGCACATGCTGGCTTCTTTGTTACATTTATACACAAAAGCTACAAGGTAGTATTCTCTCAGTTATAATGATTGATCAGTAATTTACATACAGTCATATTTGCTGTGTCATTCGTCCTAATCACTGTGCATGCTCTATGGGGGTCTTTGATGGTCGTCAGTGGTCATTTAATGAGATGTCCCCCAGAAGTTCTCTGCCAAGGTTCAATCATTGGTCAGCTTTGTGTTATTGGAATAGCCTTCTTGATTGCAACATCAATTTTCCTGGTTTATATCCAAAAGTCCTTAGATTCAGGGCTAGGTATCTCCACCAGTTTCACATAAACAATCCACTGCTATCCCTCAATGTCAGAAACTAGTACAAGGTCATCCTGACAGAAATTAAATAGGTTTGTTTGTAACAGTGATGCTTTGAGATGTGCTTTTGCAGATTCTTTGTGTATAACTGAAAAACTAAAAAAATGATCTGCAAGAAATCAGGATTTTTAATTCTTAAAGAGGGATGGATTTTCATATAGAAGTATCCTAAAATGCTTAACCCAAGCCACTGATTGGAATGTAAGCTAACAAAAAAGGAAATGTGTAGGGAGAAATACGAAAGGTATTTAGAAACCTGAAACAAGAAATGAGGAAATATGTCCTTCTAATCATTAAGAAGTGGCAGCCTGCCACAAGATTGTATCCCTGTCCTCGCCCTCTCTTTCCCATGAGCAAAAGATGTCACTCATTGTGTGCAAAGAGATTAGAAGAACTTTCTTTGGCTTACCTTATTTGATTAGCCTCCCTGCTAATACTACTGTCTTCTGGTAGTCATTGAGGTGAGGTTTTAATGAAATGTACAATAAGGCAACATCTGATGCTATCATTCATTATTTCTCATACTGTGACATAAGTTGTGGACACCTAGAGACTGAGGGCTCTTCTTCCAGGAGAAAATCCTGGTTATATACTGAATTGCCTTGATAAATAACTGATCTAGTGACCCTTGCAGGTGCAAATGGCAATTTGTAGTGTTTTTAAGCATAGATATATGACGTGATTTATGATTCTGATCAGGCAGCTTTTACAGATGGCATTGTAGTTTTCTCCATGGCAACGCTTTGCAGACGTGCTCAGCTGGCTGTGTTGCCATACAAGGTTCATAGCAAAAACTGCTGGTGTGGAGTTTCACTGTGTGGAATATGTGTCCTTTTCTTGGTTGCTGTTACCCTTCAAAACTCCATGCTGTAAGCTCTCTGTAGGCTACCTACCACAATTTTTACTGAAGGCATCTTTTACATCTGAGTCTTAAAGCTGACTTCTAATCCAACTTCTTTTTACATAGTCTTATCCAGATCTGTCCTTAACCCACAGGAACAAGAGTAGTTTTTGTTTTAACACTATAATCTTTTAATTAAATCAACCAGCTTGGGTTTTGCTTTTTTTTTTTTTTTTTTCTCTCTTTTATTCTTTCAGGTGTGATGAAACTCAAACCCTGTACTTGGCCTCTATACACTTTTGCATTAAAAATGCTTATCCCAGATGCTAGAATATCTGTAAAAGTGAAAAGGCTTTTCTTGAATGCATTGGTGGAATTCTTAGCAGCTCACACATGCTGTGCTTTTAAGTGGATTTTCGATGGTCTTCAGAAGATTAAATGCTCCTTGAAAAAGCTAATCTTTATTCTAGTAATGTAGGTTTGTGGCCAAATGAAACAAGTATGTTTGTCTGTGGAAAGTAGGGCTTTCTCTTTTGATCCAAATTTTTGTGATGGGTAACAGACTGCTATGCTTTGCATTACTTCAGTTATTATAAAATGTGTATTAAATTCTATAGAGTACAAGGAATTCAATGAAGGAGCACATTAGCTTTGAAGTGTGTTGGATTTTGGCATTATTTGTTCTTTGCTGACGCTACTCGTTATGATTTTAATTTTCTTATTAAAATGTATAATAATAATATCAGAGGTCCTTGGATATATACACTGAACGTGCATGGCTATGATATTTTTTCCAGTGACAAATTTCATACTTATCCCAACAATGTATTATTTTCCTTTCTGGAAATAAAGTGTCATCCAGTAATGTTCATTGCTGCAGACATGTTCAAGACAAAAACATATGGGGCACTGTATTACCTGTTAGAAAACTCGTGTTCTCTGATAACTGCTCAATAGGATGCAAATCAATCCCAAAATGAATTGTGTAGACACATCCCGTAGAGTACAGAAAGCTTCACGTATCCCACCAGAGACTGAGGTGGAGTTAAAAATACTTTGAGATGGATTTTTTTAATTTTTTTAATAAAGTTGTTAATTTCGGTTTCTTAACACATTAATTTTTAGTGCTTACTAAGGACACACTTTAATTGTTACAAGTGTATTAGATACTAGAACGGTATTTTTCACATTGTATGCTTGATTTGCAAGGATGCAGTGCAGTGAAATTTGTTCTTGATTAAACATACCAGCAGAATATTAGTAATACTTAAGGAAATTATTAGAGTGCAGGTTTTCTGTGAAATTCCTCTTGCTGTCCTCTAAGACAAGTGTTGTGTCCCAGTTTCTTCCAAGAAATTGTTTAACTGGAAGCTGGACACATTTCAGATAGTAATATTACCAAAAAGTAGATTTTTTGTTTTAGATGAAGCAGAGTAAGTTTTACACTATTCTGAATTTTGCAAATATTTCTGTTTGAAACCGTACCTTGACTTTTATTGAGATTCCAGAAAAATGATTTTTGGAGAAAGGAAGTGATGATTGTTTGCATAATACTCATTCCTGGCTAACATACCTATTTTTTTTGTCTGCTAGGTTGAAGACTGACAGAGCTTTGCGTTTGAGTATCATTGGTAAACAGAAACTTCTATTACTGCATACAGTATTCAACTTTTTAGCATAGATTTTAAGTTTTACCAATTTTATAGATAACCTAGTTAGAGTATATTTCTCTATAATAAGACTTTGTAATCTTAAAAGATTTTGTTGAAATGCTAAAATACCTGACGGTCACTCAAGTAGTATATACAGGATTGAATTTGAGGTGGCGTGTAACTTAGAGTGCAATCTTTAGTCAGTGTACATGACAACAGTGCAGTACAGATGAAATATCTGTTTTATATGAATGTGCATATATTTGTTGTGCATGTCTCCATGTTTTTTTAATTGCTTGTGAAAGAAAATAATATATGCAGGTTAACAGACATACTGTGCTAGCATATAAATTCAAAACTTTGAGACACAACCTGGAATATTTTTCTCTTTCATATGATTGACACTGCATCTTTTCAATTTAATCTGTCTAAGAATTGTGATGATCAGAGCTCTTGCTGAGTTCATGTTGGGTTTTTTCTTTGCCTTGGGGCCTTCTGAGGTTTCCATCTTAAGCAGTTGATACAGTGATATTTTAAAAACTAATTTTGAGTGAAGCAAATTGTATTATATTTTTTGCGTAAGGAAAAATATAAAATACATCTGAAATGATGGGAGAATATTTCTTTTATAGGTGCCTTCATACCTGGTACACACAGTACCAGTGAGTGTGTGATGCCATTCAGAATCTTGAAAAATGGGGGGTTAATTTAAAAGCTTTGAAGAACTTTAATCTGCGTTGGTGCTACAATGCTGTTGTAATCACTGATATTTATTCTTGTAGGAGAAAAATTGCAATGGTTTCAAAGTCACCTGGACCCCACTAAAATTGAGTACACAAAGAAGGAAGCTGGTGAACTAATTGAAAAGTAAGACTGGTGTCAAAAACAGGATGGGAAAGCTTGATTTGTCTTCTAAAATAATGTTCCTAAATAAGATCTGTGAAGTGATGATGACTCAGAGGAGGACTTTTTATATGTTACTGTTAATAATATCAATAGTTGATTTTATTGGAACTGAGGTTAATTATGTATTGAAAGATGCATATATTCACACTAGAATTAATCATATAAGTCATGTGTTTGGAGTTTTTTTATTTTTTAAGTATATCTCTGCATTTGTATTGCATGAAGGACCCAAAATGATCTGGACAGTAGTAAAGGCATGCCAGCTGGGTTATTCAGTGACACTTAAATGTGCAGATTTCATTCTACTTACTCCTTTATTCTTTAATTTTCTTTGCTGAGAAGATTAAACAGTACTCAGGTGGGTCAATTTTTAGGGCAGGAAGTACCAAAATTTAATCTGCTAAAACCAGCTCAGTTATTTCTGTGCTTCTGGATGTATGTACCTGTGACTTGTCACCTGGTAACTAGATAACATAATAGATATGTATTCTTATACAGGTATACTATATCAGTTTCCTTTCAGAAGCTTTAACATATATCCTACACTGTTCATGCAACCTGTGAATCGCTAATCAACGCTAGTGATACCACAAAGGCAATAAGAGCTTTTGTGAGATGATGTAGAACACATGCCAAAGAAGAATGTTACTTTAAATATTATTATTGAAGTTCAGCAATTAAAAATTAGGAATACTTAGATTTAACACTGGTCTTCCAGAGCAAGTGAATTATAATCATGTGGGAGTTTTGTTTTATGCAAGTACAGTTTAAAAATCAAACAAAAAGGCAAATAAAACCCCCTAATCTTCTGGATGCCACAGATGATTCGAATGAATTCTAAATGGAGCTTTTATTTTGAAGATTATAGTTCAAATCCAAGAAACATCTCTTGACTAATTTAGAAAATAAATACAATTAGAAAAATAACTCCTTAGATTATCAAAGTAATTCTGTTTTGCAAAAGTTTCGCATGACTGCATCTAGCATAAATGCATTTTATTTCTCTCAGTTATATGTGTCGATTCGATGCTGAATTGGAGCAGATTGAATTACAAAACAGTATTAAAGGTAGACAAGGCAGACAGCATGGTTCACGGGAAACTGTCATCAAGCAGACCATTGAACGTGAAAGACAACTCTATGAAGGCTATGGAATGGGTATGTAAAAGCATTACAATAAATCCTGTGGTCATACCTCCTCCTGCTCACAAGGCTAGAATCTAGGTGCAATTTCTAGGCATTGTCTTTATTTTTCTCTTTAAAGGAATTGACTAACTGCTAGGTATCTGCTTTGCAGAGGAGGGGCAGTGTAAAGAATAGAAGTAAAAAGATGGTGGAGATCTGATTCGTAGATTTCTCTTATAATATTTTGCTTTTATGCATTTTTGCTAGTGCTGCCTCTTTAGTTGCCGGCATTTGTAACCCATTTTTGAAACTAAAGTGAGATTTAATGCACCTGTCTCAAATACAAATACTGTTCAGCAGCTTGCTTGGACCTTAATTATATACGAAGTATTTTTTATTTTACAAGTACATTTCAGTTGATGTGCATGTTTTAACATACATCAGCATGAAGACTTTTATTTGCTCATGTGGACAATAGTCAGCATCACTTTCTCTACAAATTACTTACTTTCTTTAGGTGGTCTTCGTTGCCTGGACTCATGACAATGAAATCTTTACATGCAGCTTTCTCTATCATTCTTTTGATGATACACAAACTTACTGTTAGGGATAAACCTGTGGCCTGACTTGCCCCTTTCCATCAAGGTGGACCAGTGGCATGAGGAGCTTCAGGAAGTTTCTTAACATGCGAGAGTGGACTTTAGGGTTCATGAACTTGAAGAAAACCAAAGCCTCTTCAGAACAAGACCTTATATTCCACTAAGGTTGAGATGTGTTTCATGTGGGAGCATGATGCAGCAGAAATTGTAGTATCGATGTATTTCCAGAATTTGAATATTTCTGGAGTTTGACTATTAAAATTGAGGTATTCCAGGAAGAAATCCTGGGCTATTGTGACATATCTACTCTTCAGGCTCTAATGTACATGCATAAATGATAACCCACAAGTAGAAGAAAAAATTTTGCCTTCTGTTTTTCTTGGGTAGAGGAATTGAAAGCACTTGGAGTTTTTAAACACTCACCTTGGCAATTATCACAAATCTGAGTAAAATCATGCCAGATATTCCTGTTGACTTTTTCTTTATTACTGTTTATCTTCCTTTGGCGTAGCCATCTATGCCAGCAGATGATCTAATGAAATCTGAGGAGCAGTCATGTGAAAACCACAACAAGCATTAAAGCTGAAAATTTCTTCTTAAGAAGAAACACTTAAATTCTTTTTGAAGGTATTTTCTGGTATTGGAGGTAGTACACAGATAAAAGCTACATGTGAGAAAGAGAAATAAAAGACTGAAAATTTGATAGCCAGAACTAGGCTGAGGGGAAGCAGCAGTAATCTGGTGAAATAAGGGAGAAAGACAAAGGGATAATGAAAATGCAAAAAGCAAAGAGTTGTTTTGAGTAGAATCAAGTCAAAATAGTAGTGAAATTGATGTATTTTGCTTCAATAAATAAGCATGTTGGAGTTGAGTGATGAATTTAATTTCAATGCTAAAGTATTATAGAGATGCAGTCAGTCCTTCTAACAGTACATCATGGAAGAGATGAAAAATCTACATTATTTTGTGGTTAGGATACGTAGCACAGCAATGTTTGGGTTGTGTGCCATACTCTTCTTTCCCCTAGTTTATGTTGACCAGTAAAGAAAATCTGTGGCTTTAGAATTTTGCCAGTGATACTTTGTATTTTCATAACCTGCAGTGGCAGAGGAATTCAGGAATATCTGTATGACTTCATGCATAATCTTCGATTTCTTAGAAGGGGGAAAAGGTCATAGGCAATGGGTACTATGAATGTCATCAAATAGCTCAGTTATAGAAAATCTCCTTATTGATTTTGCTTTTAAATTTTAGTTCTTCCTTTTTTCTTTACTGTTTTGTAGAAAGCTGACAGGAAAAAAAGCAGTAAGGCTAGATAGAAAGATGTCAAATGCACAAGCACAACATAAAAATAAAGAAAAATCTAGAAATATTGTAAGCAAAATTTGAGGTTATTATAGTATTAGTAAGTAAATCATTCAGGGAGCATGGTGCAACTTCACATATTAAATACACTCTCAAATCATTCATTATTTGTTATCACAGCTGCTGCAGGTTTTGCTCTCTGTCTAGGACAGTATTAACTCAGAGAAAATAGTTGCTGCTAAATACTGTAATTAGAGATTGAGGATAAATGGAAAACAGCTGGAAACTGTGCTTTTATGCTCTAGCTCATTATTATCCCTGGAAACTAGTGAGTGGAGCTTTTATAACTGACTTGGTATTTGTTGGGCTTTTTTCTCCCTATTCTTGAACTTGGTTATTTCTTGTATGCATGTGCATTTGCTATGAAGAGACTACATGATATGAATTATTTACATTTAGGGAAGTCTTCTAAAATTTGATGCTTGCTCTCTCTTTATATCAGATATATGTAAATGAAAAATTAGTCTTTACTGTCTATTTACGAAAGTGGTAGATGTCCAAAAGCATAATAAATTTTAGTCTTTCTTTAAAAAAAGTAGTTGTACAGGGAATATTCAGTCTGTCTGTGTTGTTGAATTTTGTTAGCAGCTTCTTGTCACTTCATTACTCCTGAAATGTATCTACATTATTTGTAAAGCAGTTTTCTTGTTGATGTTGTAATTTACATTATTCCTGCAGATAGGACTAGAGTTTCTAGTTCTGTTCCTAATCTGGCAACTCTGTGGTTTGCAAACATACATGTAAGCATAACTTAAAAAACTTTGCCACTGCCAAAGCAGTAAAGAGCAATTCAGTACCAAATCTTGGTTGGTCACAGAATCTCTCCCCCTCAGAATGCCTACTTTCTCATGATATTGGTGAGCCCTGGATGACAGGCTAGATAAAACTATTAGAATATTCTCTTTGAAAAAAGTCCTTTGTAAGTTAATAAAAGGTATCAATGCTTTACAAGGTGGCTTTTTGGCTTTTTGTTTCGGGTTTGGGGTTTTTTTTTCCCCAACCAAAAAAAGCGGTTGACAGTTAAAAGTTTTGTCATTCATCCTAGTTTGTCTGAGAATAACACTGAACTGAATGTTGGAACAGTGCTTTCACAGAAGGAACAAATAAAAATCTCAGCCGGCACCTATTTCAGTTGGCCCAGATTAGCATGGTGCCACTTCTGCCAAACTGACTGTTTACATCACTGAGTCATGTCCTAGAAGCAAACCAAGTTGTCATTGCTCCTTGTAAAATAGCTGAGGCAAGGGAAGAACTTCTTTCTCTTGTGGGGGCTAGGATGTTTCAGCATTTGCCATCCAGCTGCCAGAAGTCCATTAGAATGTGTTCTGTTCAAACACCTGGCATCCTGCTCTACTCTTCCCAGTGTCTGTATTTTAAACACTCACGTTCTTGTACTGCATGGTAAATTTCATGAAGCATATTTAAGTGTTGGTTACATTTTCTTACTTGAATTAGCAGATTTACTTTCCTAACGACTGCTCTCTGTTGCTTGCAGTGGTGACTTAAGTGCTTCGAAGTTTTTTCCAGAAACATTTCAAAATACTTACAGACCACCTAGTGCTCATTAATTTAGAGTGAGGCCTGTGTATTTAGGCCAGCTTTGAAACTAAGTTTTGTTATTTTACCTTGTATCTGTTGTGAGTATTTATAGTGAGTTCTGAGGAGCGTAATTGTCTTTTTATTGTGTGAGTGAATGTCGGTTAAAAACAAGCATAACCAGATCTTGATCTTGGTTGAGGATGTTAGTTATGCTTTTAAATCAAATAATAAATTAATTATTAGTTTCTTCACTGGACTCTTTCTAAAGGGAAACTGTAAGTGCTTAAAAGTTTGCTATTTCTCAGATGTGCCAGAGAAAATGAAGCACGCTCTTTTTATTATTTGTCAGGATTGGATTTTCAGTAACTGGTACATCTGAAATCTGGACTGGTTTTTAGGTGTAAGTTCACTTCTTTTTCTTTAGCAGTGACAAGTCTTCCTGTTTATATATTGTTTTAGAAACTTTCTAATATGAATTCTCATTTTCTTGGGCTTTTAATCTCTGAAATAATACATTCAGCCCTTTAGCTCACATTTCTTTCTTTGAAATGAGACTCATGAATAATGTAACATATCTAATAGAATTTAATTTCATTCCCATTAGAGATCCCAGACATTATGAACAGAAAGCATCTTAAATATTTCAGGTAAGTTCTTTTTATTATCACTACTAATCTGTTTATGGAAAACAATGTTTCTGAATTTGACATGTTGTATGTCCTTTTTCCTAAAGAAGAATTTATGCGAAACTGTCAAAGGATTTGTCATTTGAAAAAGCAGACTAGGTATGCTGTTGCTATTTCAGCATTTATTAGCTGTTAGAAGCTAAATGCTGGTGACGGTTAACCATTAAAATATTGGAAAGGTTAGAAACCTTCAAAAGGTAGATATTCAGTTTCTGTAGCTTAAGTATCTTTTTTCAATATTCTTAGAGAATGCTTTCTCTTTACCTAGAATTCTGACCTCAGCTATTCACTAATTTGCAAAACACCCTAGCTTTTACTGTTACTGTTTAAGGATCAAGACATGAATTTATTGATAAATTGAATAACACTGTTTTTTTTTATCGAAATGAGATTTCAGATGGTAATTTTAGTCATATAACATCGTGACCTTAGATATTTATAGTCAGAACTCAACATTAAGTAACTAAACCAGCATTAAGTTCTTAGTCGTATTTTCTAAGATCCAGCTCTAGGTGTAGTAGATATTTGTGCGTACATACTAGTTGTAAATCTTAAGCCAACTGAGGACTTGTATCCAGTTACAGGACCTGGGAGCTGTGAAACTAGCTGCTAGCTCATCTGGGCCAGCAAGCAAATATGCCTTGCTAATGGATTGAATGAACGCTCTTGCTGACAGCTCTGTGAAATGAGATACTTTGGGAGGGGGTGGGGTGGGAAAGCCTTAATGAAAGCTTATGTTGCAAGGAATGATATACCATTATGCCACTAACTCCTAGGGGTGGTATGTAGCCAGAAGTCATGCTTAGAGGATGCTGGAATGAAGCAACAGGCTTCTGGCTGCTGTGTTTATAAATACACAATTGACTTCTTTTACTGGGATGTCTGATGGAAGTGTTGTATTATCTTGGTAGAGCAAAAATGTGTCTGTCTCCTAATTGACGAATGCTGGCTTTGCCCTTGCAAAAAATTATCCATGCAGTGCACTTACTTGTGATCAGGAAGGCATTCCATTAATTGAGTACTGGATTTGACTTATATATAAATGAACTCTTCCTCCTTCATGCAGCCTCCTTCATGCTTACTAACATTTTGTGTCCTCTTGAAGTCAGTCCTACAAGAATTTAACAGTTACCATAAATCATAATGAAGGACTTTATGTGCATGTGATATTAGCTCTGTAAATTGCGCCTCCAGATGAAAAAACTCTTCCAGTGTAAGCAACAAAAAAGCAGTTTGGGAGCTTAGTGTGTCAAACCTAAAAGCAGGTGGCCTGAAGTACCTGAGGAAACAAACAGTCTGTGGGAATAAAATGAATCATATTTTTTGTTCAGAATGTCAAATATGAAAGCACTTAATTCTTCACAGAGAAGTTACAGGTGGTGTAGTATACAAGATCAGGTGAAAACATTGGTGCTTATTCATACTGCAGTATAATTCAGAAAAGCAGCTTCACTTGAGTTAACGTCTTCTGAAGAAAGGTGAAGTAACTCTGCCACATTCCTTCTTTCTATTGGTAATGGGTTTTCATTACTTTTTTCTTTAAGAGAATGGGATGGTGATCTGAGGAAACTGCCGAACATCAAAATGAAAAAGCTCTCAGCTATGGATGCTGCTTGCAGTAACCCTGAGGTGGCAGATGTGGAAGCTAAAGAAGAATCGAATAAAGCAGAAGAGGAGGCCTAATGAGCACCAGCTGATTCAAGAGCTGAAAAAGCTGAAGGACATTGTAAGAAACCTATTTTAATGATCACTAGAAACAACAATAAATTCTAACTATATTTGCAAAGGCTTTTCTAGTTGCATTTTTTTATGAGCTCACTGTGTACCTATGGTAAACAGTAAATAGTATATTGCTGGGTAAAGCTGTATATTATTGGATAAAAAATTCTGAATATAAATGAATACTTAAAATCTTAATTGTGTCCTTCTCATAATGTACCTTCTCTTTAGTATGCTGGCTCCTGAGTTGACAAAGCCAACGTAGTTTGTCTTGAATTCCTGGCTAGTTGAGTACCTCTTCTCTGTTCATAGAGCAGTCAGGATTCAAACACCTGTTAGAAATACTTTGTAGTGGGAAATCCTTACCTTTTCTTAGTAGTGGCAAGAGTGTGTGTTATGGTCTATAAAGAGCGGGTACCCTGGTAAACAGTAGGGCCACCTATTGTCAACTTTTACTCATCGCTTGTGGTGGTGGCTGGGATGCCTCTAGCTGTGTGCAGTTTTGTGGAGAGCAGAAATAGGCCCCATCTCACGAAATCCAGAACACTCATCGTAGGTGGAAGAAATGGTCTTCCGCTTGGTGGAAATGTATATGCAGAATATCAGGTACATGGAGAATCAGTTAATCTTGAACTCTTACATTGTACCCATCCTGAGAATCTGTGTCAGGAACATAGAAAGCTGGAAAGACTTCAATAAAATACTGAGTACTTTATGTTTTGTCAAGAGAATTTGAGAGAATAACACTGTCTTCACCATTCTGTATTGAAGAATTCAGATCAGAAGCCAGCTGAATTCCTTACAGTCTGTTTTTAAATATCTTATGACCATTTTTTTTTCTTTCTTTGCTGCCCCCTCTTTTGAGAAAGCTGTACATTTTTAAATTAAGTTGCTTAGGACTTATAAATAGCAGGCTTGCTTTCTGAGGCAACTCTTTAGACACCTTTAAATGCGTTTTTCAAGAAGGTTCTTGGCTAATTCTCACTTATAATATTGTAGAATAATTTTTAAAAAAAGGACAAGGGCAAAGCCAAGGCTAATTTCACACTAGGGATTAAGTAGGACAACTCTTAGTGTGGATTAGATTGTTTGAGTACAGAAGTTGCAGTTCAGATGCACTGCCTGTATACTATGTAGCAGTCACAGTTCGGTGCCTTGTAAATTACATGGAAATAATTATTCCTGGTGGATAATCTTTCTGATACTCAATCCCCAATACATTTCTGTGTGTTAAACAACAAGGAATTGTCACAGTAAGTAGATATGTGGGTTCCCAGATTTCTTCTATGGGTAATTTTCTAGGTGTGTATTTTCTTAGCTGTACAATAAGTGTAACTGCTGAGTGTTATTCTGTTAACATCTATATTAAGTTCTTTTCACTCTTTACTAAATAGGCTTGTGCTATTCTTTTCTGTTTTAGATAACCAGTCTATTTAGGTACTATAGAAATAACTGTTGTCCTCCTTAAATTAATCTAAAGAAGAAACCTGAAATATTTAACAGAAGTGAAGCACATGTGAGTGATCTAATGCATTATCAGATGGACTGTAAATCTTGAACCAGGCTAGAGGTCTTATCCTCTGATACCAACCGTATCTCTACACTGTCGCATCACTGCTTTGTGTTTGTGTTTTAGAATCAAGTGTACTGAAGTGTTTTTTTTTAACTTTGTTAAATTGACCTGTTTTATGGAATTCAGCTTTTGATTTATAAAACTTTAGGTGTTATACTTCTGGGACCTCTGCAAAACATTTGACACCGTCCCACATGACATCCTTGTCTCTAGAGAGACATGGATTTGACAGGCGGACCACTTGGTGGATAAGGAATTGGCCGGATGGTTGCACTCAGAGAGTTGTGGTAAATTGCTCGATGTCCCAACTGGAGACCAGTGATGAGCGGAGTTCCTCAGGGGTCAGTGAAACTGGTGCTGTTCAGCATCTTTGTTGGTCACATGGACAGCGGGATTGAGTGTGCCCTCAGCAAGTTTGCTGATGACACCAAGCTGTGTGGTATGGTCGACATGCTAGAGGGAAGGGATACCATCCAGAGGGACCTGGCCAGGCTTGAGAAGTGGGCCAGTGCCAACCTCATGAAGTTCAGCAACATGAAGTGCAAGATCCTGCACCTAGGTCAGGGCAATCCCTGGTTGGAGAACGGATTGAGAGCAGTCCTGAGGAGGACTTTAGACTGTTGGTTGAGAAAAATCTTAATGTGAATGGCACTCTGCACTTGCAGCCCAGAAAGGCAGCTATATACTGGGCTGCATCAAAAGGAGTGTGGCCAGCAGGTCGAGGGATGTGATTCTCCCCCTCTACTATGCTTTCCTGAGACCCCACCTGCTGGACTGAGAGAGTTGGGCTTGTTCAGCCTGGAGAAGGGAAGTCTCTGGAAGAGAGACCTTATGGCAGTCTTCCAGTACCCTAAAGGGGGCCTATGAGAAACCTGGAGAGGGACTTTTTACAAGGGCATGTAGTGACAGGACAAGAGGAAATGGTTTTAAACTGACAGAGGGGGGATTTACATTAGGTATTAGGGAAAACTTTACTGTGAGAGTGGTGAGGCAGCAGAACAGGTTGCCCAGAGAAGCTGTGGCTGCCCCATCTCTGAAAGTGTTCAAGGCCAGGTTGGACAGCGCTTTGAGCAACCTGGTCTAGTGGATGGTGTCCCTGCCCATGGCAGTGGGGTTGGAACCAGATGATCTTCATGGTCCTTTCTAACTGAAATCATTCTGTGATTATGATTCTGGTGGAAGCTGAGCCAAGGTAATTGGTCTGAACTGAAGTCGTGTATGTGTTTTTCAGTGCTTTGACAGATACTGCTTTTTAGAAGGTTCATCTTAAATTTTTGCTTGTATACAACATCTGATGTGCTTTGAAATTTTAAGTAGAAATGTTGCAGAAAATGTCACTTTCCCATCACACTGGTTAAGATACAGAAGGAAAATGAGTAAGATAACTACCTGTCAGAGTAATGACAGGTGAATGCTTTAAAAAAGATCGTATCACAAAGATATGAAGAATAAGATGTTCTATATTCCTTGAAACAGTTCAGTTATAAGACATTACAAAAATTAATTATGACTTGTGTGGTTGATGTGATAGTCAAATATTTGAAGTGATTTCTTTTTTAACACTTGTTATTTACACATCAAGAACATGTTTACAATTTGGACTTCGTTGAATTTGTGGACTTTCTCCTTTGAAGGCCATGTTTTCTCTACTTGTTTAGCTGGCTTTTTAAAATGTTTTGTTGAACTACTGCATAAGTAATGAACAAAGAACAGGTTCTGTGTGTGAACTTTTTATATTGAATTATAAGAAAAAAACCTATGCAGCTGTGAAGTATTCGTATTTGAATTGAAAAGTAATCTAGGCTTAAGTTGATGATGTGCCAGTTTGCCAGATGAGTTTTGTTGCAGAATACTAATGTGGCAATGGGAAAGAAAAAAGAGAAAAAAGCTATGTATTTATTGATTTACTTTTAATTTCTGTGCTCAGAGTTTTGGTACCAAGAGGCCTGGAGGGAAAGGGAATGTAGAGAGAGTCTCTTGCCTCACATGTGTTACTGAGACAAGATAGTACAATTTCTTCTATCAGTTTCATAATCCAATCATGCCTGTGCTTTAAAGTCGGCTATTAGGGTTCTGTATGCTGGTGAGTTTCTTCCCTATGGTGGAAAAAAATGAATGATCTCAGGAGTTCTGAATCATTATTCTATTTCTTTAAAATTAAAATCTAGAAAGCAGGTGCCTTTTAAAAGTGGGAATGGGAAATATTTCTGTGATGTTCTCTGTTCTTACAAACTTGTCTTGAAATCCTGTGCATTTGTAACTAAGGATTACAGACTTCAATGTTAAATCCTCTATTATAATTTTCAGTAACTGATGGGCTTCTGTGGTTAAAGATTAATGTTATGGAAATCTATTTCATTCTTAAATTGTCAGATACTGCTTCACAATATTTCTTCATTTTTAACTGCAAAGTTGTGATAGTTAATACTCAAGTTTCTTTAATTATAAGGGCTCCTTTAAATACAAAAAAAATCAAACAAAAAAGTAACACTTTAACATGGAAAGCCACTTTTATGTAAGAACTTTGGGGTTTTTTAAATGTACTTTCTATGTTTTTACACTTTGCAGTCTACTTACTAACCTGTACTTAGTAGCTGTACTTCTACTCCAGCCAGCCTTGGAGAGAGATTTTGCTAAAGAACCGGCTGAATTACATTCAAACTTTCAGAAGCATCTGAGTTGTTCTCTGATTCTGCAACTTACTCCATTGATGGTCTCAGCTGGAAAGAACCAGCTGACTTTAATTCCAGTAGCAGTATGATTTTTTTTTTTTTATGTAAAAAAAACGAATGTTGATTTAAAAAAAACCCAACCAACAAAAAAAAAACCCCATAAACCTAGAAAACATTATCCTTCTCAAGGCTGGTTTTATGCAGTAGGTTAATTAATTTACAGTTTTTTAGTGTTGGAAACTAATGTGACTGAATTAATGGAACTGTTCATGGCTTACCAGTCTGATCCACAAACTTGGTTCTAAAGGGATGAGACTTCCACAGTTGTGATGTGGAGAAACAAGCACACAGTGAAGCACTTCGCCACAGCATTATATTTTTCATCTTTTTCCTCTGCCAAAGTATGTGTCGATCCTTATGGAACTCCAGTATGTGCAATGGGATGCAAGGAGTCAAAAAGGCAATGTATGTGAACCATTTTGTGAGCCATTCCTAAGTAGTTCAAGGAAGATACTTAAAGATTACATTATGTGTGTTTATTTATTTTTATGTCTTTGATTAGAATAGCATATTTACTCATCTCTCTAATGACACTGTTGTATGTGAGGACAGAATCTGGGATCTGAAAGTATGCATTTAAGTTGGAATGCAACTACCTAAAAACTTTTTTTTTAATCACCAGGCAGATAGGAAAGAGCATTATAAAGGACATTACTTTTTCTCAGAAGAGAAAGTTCTCTGCTTAAGGAATCCTCCAGACTTCATTTTCTAGTAAAGGCAAAGAAACACCCACATTACAGAAGTCTGTCAGATTGGCTTGTTT